GGTTTCCTGAGTATAATAACAACTATTCTAAAGAGCTTATTGAAAGGGAAATCTATTTCCTCATTTGTGGTGTAATATAATAGAAAATAAATTTAAACCAATTGAACTCATTTTTGTAGTTGATTACAATGATATCCTGAAAGCCCTTGCACAAACTTTGGCACAGTGTGTTAGGGACAAACCCTAACCAGCCTTTCAGAGATTATAAAGTCATAAGGGACTACTGTCATCATCTAGTCTATCTCCCATGTAAGCACAGGTCACAGGATAATCCCTGAATTCATTCTTGTTTGAACTAGAGCATATCTTTTAGAAAAACATCTAATCTTGATTTTAAAATGTACAGTGATGGAGAATCAATCACAACCTCTGGTAAATTATTCCAATGGTTAATTACCCCCAAATTTGCACCTGATTTTGAATTTGAATCTGTCTACTTTCAACTTCCAGCCATTCAATCTTGTTATACCTTTGTCTGCTAGATTGAAGAGCCCTCTCTTATTAAATTTGTGTCCCCATGTAAGTACTTATAGACCATGATCAAGTAACTATTTAACCTTATCTTTGATAAGCTAAATACATTGAGCTCCTTGAGTCTTTTACTATGCGGCATGTCTTCCCGTCTTTTAATTATTCTCAAGTTTCTTCTCTGAACCCTCTCCTATTTAAATAGGAACAAAATCATTTTGTTTCTAACATACTTATCAAACCTCCTCTGATCGTCTTTAACTTTGCTGACCATTGAGTTCTCCTTGTGTCCTTTTCTTTCCCTTATCAATTTACTGTGATTCTTAGCTTATAATTTATATTCATTGCTATCAACTGTATTTTTTTCATAATTGTTTTCAGCTTTGTAAAATTGGCCCTTTTAAAGCAGCAACTATAAGTATTACTGGTTTGTACTTTATTCTGTTTGTACTCAACAAATGTAAGCAAGTCATGATTACACGCTGTGGCACTCTGCACCCCAAGGCACCATGGAATCTCCATATTCACCACTATCATATAATTATGATATGTTTTGTACAAAGTATGCCCTGTGAGGTATTATTTTAAAAGTCTTGATCTGTTGAACATTAATATCCTGTTGGATTATATGTGCTATCATTGTATTCCAAGTTATAAAGTTTTGTTATGTGTGTGTACTACTGAAATATGTCGTGAGGTTGGGAACACCCACAACCAGCCTTTCAGATACAACAATGGAGTAGCCAGACTGCATTAATGGCTCATCAAGACCCATCAAAGAAATGATCTCCTCTCCCAGAACAGCATACAATGGAGAATTCTTAGAGGAAGCACATATACAATGGAGACTGCTTGACCCAAATCATAGCAAAATACCTTTCAAGGAAGCTGGAAGAAACTATAAAAGGGGAAGTGGCATTATGATTTGGCCTCTCTCCCTGCCCCCCAACTCAACACCTGAAAGAAACATCTGGAGGACAAAGACCTTGAACTGGAGAGTCCCAGCCTGTGTATTGAGGAACTAAACCATCTGTCAGGGTGAGACACTGCTTGATTCAAATCCTGTTTAGTGTATAGAACTCAGACTGTGAATTTATTTTTGTTTCTTAGGTAACCAATTTTGATCTCTACACTTGCTACTTATAATCACTTATAATCTATCTTTCTGTAGATAATAAATCTGTTTTATATTTTACCTAAAACAGTGTGTTTTGGTTGAAGTGCTTGGGAAATTTCAGCTCAGTTTACAAAGGCTAGTTTGTGTCCACTCCACATCGAGAGAGGGGTGGTGTGGGTAATGACCTTACACTTGTCAGGCTTCTGACCATAGCAAGACAGTACAGTTCTGGGGTGCAAGGCTGGGGAGCTGGAGCCTCTCTAATGTTGGTTCATGAGTGGCTGGAAAAGCATTCATGTAACTCAGTTGGGTGTGTCCCTGCCTGTGGATGGCTGTGTAAGTGCAGCACCCATCAGAGTTTGTAGCTTGGCAACAGCATCACAGAGTAAGAAGGATGCCCCAAGTTGGTGAGATAGAGGGACCAGCTGTCCCACAGTCCAGGTTGCACCTCGGGGATGACATCACACATGCACTTAAGCAACCACTACCATATTGTTGTGTGATCAATTTCTCTTCGTCTTTCAAGATGAGGTCTAACATAGCGTTCCCCCACGTTGGTTGCGGCACCTTTGAGTTAGAAAATTCTCATCTATAATTTTTAGAAATTCCAAGCATGTTTTGCCAGGTCTCCTCTCTGTTTCCACTCTCTTTTGTCCCTTGGTGGCCAGTTCCTTCCTTTCTTTTTTGAATCTGGGAGGGTGATGCTTCCCAAATCTGGTGGTCTGAGAACTCCTCAGCCTCTCTGATTCTCTGAGATGTCTGCACTTGGCCTTCCAGACCATGAATCTTTTCTTCAAGCATAGCTACCAGCTTGCACTTCATACAGAGGAAATCCCTTTTGACTTCCATTAGGAAAGAAAACATGAGAAATATGTTGTAGGACAGAACCCTGTTCCATCTTTATATTAAGTGTACAATGGTACATAGAAAGAGAGCGTCACACATACCCTATCTGAACTCTCTCTGAAACTCCCCAGTTTGCTGCTCCTGTTTGCTACTCATGAGTTCACCTGTCAACTGACTTACATACTAAGCCTCACTGCTCGTCTCTACCCCCTCAACAACAGGGAGTGATTAACCATTCAGAAAGTTCAAATGCCTGGGCTGATCAAAAGACCCAAGAATCAGAGCCACATGGCCCTCACTGAGATACAGACCTGTCTCACCTGGCCCATGGCCCAGCCACATAAGTCCTGGAACAAGAATAAACAGGCTGTGAGCATGGTAACTCCATGGGGTCTGGAAGAATATGCCTGATCTCCCCTTGTTGGACCAGGGACACCAGCAGTTACTTCAGATGTGTAGTGCAGCCTATAAGAAGTAGCAGATGTGATGACTGCTCATCCCTTCCCTCATAGGAGTTTTGACTGATACTTCCCATCTCAGCAAACCCATTGACCCCACCCAGCCCCTCTTTGTTTCACCCCTTGAATTCCCATTCGTGCTGCTCCAGTGAGCGTGGAGTTCCCCTGCACTACTTCTCTGAACTCTGCTCTCCCCTCCAGTAGAACCATAGAATTTCTGTTGTGTTTAGAGCTTTATATACCTGTAGAAGGAGTCAAGATTTGGCTCTCAGAATATAGACAAATCAGCCAAATAATTGCATGTCTTTTTCTATAGATTAGTGTAAAAAATGGGTAGCAGTCAATAAACACAGAGTAAAAGTGTGTTGAACAGTTTCAGCTAAGAATAATGTTTCCATTATAAAGTAGTGTGCCAGGTCTCAAACAGTGAGTAGCTAGCCCCATGAGGGTCACTAGCATTTAGCTGGAAGAAGGCAGCAGAGTACTGGCCTGCTCTGTGGTTGGAGAAATGAGTACAAGGTTGGAAGAGAGGAGGTCCTGTTTCCTAATCCTGGTTCTGCCAGCGCATCTCTGTGTGGTCGTGGGTAAATTGCTTGACTTCTCTCTCTTGGTTTCACTGTGGTGAAATGGCATTAATAATACCTGCTTACCTCACAGAAATGTTGTGCGGATTAAGGAGGCGATATCTGTACAAACAGAATAAAGCATTGAAAACTGGACATTTACCACTTACATAGACAAATCTACTTACGGTAGTCCACCTTAACAGTAAAAGTAAATAAACACAAAAGTCAGCAAGAGGTGTGGGTACTCTGAAATCCGGTCCTAGATTGATTTATAACTAAGATTTGTGTTTATTGAAGTGACAATGTTTAATTTGGAATAGTTTAATTTTATATTTAAAAATACCGTAAAGACACTGGCTGCTGTGGATTGATTGTGAGATGTTATTCAGACTATCTAAGCCTCTCTGTTCATGGGAGAACACAGATGCCAAGCTATAAAAAAATTATTCTATATAATGACTTGCTAGGTAGTTCTTAGATCATCAGATTATACTGATGCCAGACACTGGGTAGAACAGGATTTCTCAACCTTTTCAGGTTGGTCACTTTTTATTCAAAGTCAACCTGTTTTGTGACCTCCCCCTGCTTACATTAACTACAAAATAAGAGTAAAAATTATATGAATTATAACAATTGACCTTGAAGGGTAAGAGAGTGTAGGCAGTGGAATTTTCTTCGCGTTAGGTTATAACATTTTCACTGCTTTATGACCTCCCTCCCATTTTCCTGATTGCCTTTCATGACCTTGTTGGTGGTCACAACCCGCTGGTTGAGAAACCCTAGACTATTGGCTGCCAGTCCTTCAAGACACCTGTTGTCCAAGACCTACTTCTGATTCTGAGGAACTAGCATTCTCCTACCATATAAAACTAAAGTCTCACAAGTGCTGTATATTAAACCTTGAAATGATTGCTACACCTTCTGCATATTGCTGCACCTGAACTATTCACATGCTTAAATTTAGGCATGTTCTTAAGGAACTTGCCAAACTGGGGCCTAAATGAATAAAGGAAGTAATTATTTAGATCACATGCATCAGATCAATATACTGTACTAGAGTCACTATGTTTGATCAACTAGTAATATTGTCAACTGCAGCCTAACCCCATGTCATTTTGTGAATCCCACAAAAAATCATCCATAGATGGGTAGGAAGCCTTTAAAAATTGTCTTCAGAAAACAGAAAGATAATAAATTTGAATTAATTGGAGGTTTACAGTACAGCCTCAGAGTTTTGAACACCTCAGGAATGGAGGTTGTTCATAACTGTGAAAGGTTTGTAACTGAACAATACGTTATGGTTGTTCTTTCAAAAGTTTACAACTGAACATTGACTGAATACAGCTTTGAAATTTTACTATGCAGAAGAAAAATGCTACTTTTAATCATCTTAATTTAAATGAAACAAGCACAGAAACAGTTTCCTTACCTTGTCAAATCTTTTGTTAAAATTTGTCTATTTTTAGTGGTTTACATTTAACACAGTGCTGTACTGTATTTGCTTTTTTTATTTGTCTCTGCTGCTGCCTGATTGCATACTTCCAGTTCCAAATGAGGAGTGTGGTTGACAGGTCAGTTCATAACTCTGATATTCATAACTCTGAGGTTCTACTGTGCTTTGAATTCTGATGCAGTTGTTTTGTACGAACACATTCTTACCAACCCCCTCTTGATCACTACAATTTCTGAAAAGCAAGTAGAGAGAGGAGACCCATCTCTGTAATTTAACCTTTATTATATTATTTTTAGAATTGTCTTTCAGGTCTAACCTTCACAGCATAAATTCACAAGTGAATAATCTCATTAGAGATAATCCTTCTCTCTGGGCAGTCTCTTTGCAGGATAGTCTGGCCAACGTTTCTCATGATTTTTAATTTGTGATCCATTTGCTATCTGATCCATTTGCTAATTACCAATATTGTCCATCTCACCTGTGCTCTCCCGTCCTCAGTGCTTCTTGACAGATAATAGATTTTGCAATAACAACTTGAGTTTTAGACCCCTCTGAAAGTTAATAGCTCAAATTTCTATTAAAATGGCTCATGTAAAATTTCTGTGGGATGCTTTGAAATTTCAGTTTTGTACACAGTAATTGAATTCAATGTTAGGTAATGTAATGGGTTTGAAATTTGATTGCAAGAGACTGTTTTAATCTTTGTGATTGCCATTTCCCTTGGCGCACACAGATCTATCACTTGTAATGGAGGATGCAGCTCTGAGAGGATATATAGTGCAAACCTTAGCACTAAACACTTGGGGTGAAACACCTACCCTGTTTAGGTTACCAGATGTCTAGGTTTTCCCAAACATTGCCTCTTTTTTGAGTCTCCATGTTCTGTCTGGGGGAAGTTTTCAAATAACAGGAAATGGTCTGCAGAGCAGACATTACAGCTCAGAAAGAGCCCCAATTGGTCCACTTCCTGACTGGTCCCACCCCTGCATCTGCAGCTAATTGGTCCCACAGCTGCCAGATCCCTCCGCCCTCCCCAGGCCCTGGCTCACAGCCCTGGGAAGGGGGGTCCCGCAGCAAGGTACTGGCTGATGGGCTGGCGCTGCATCCTGGGCTTGCACTGGTCGCCCTGCCACCATGTCAGGGAGTGGCATTGCCCCTCACCTCCAGTGAGTACCCCCACTGTAGGTACCCCCTCCAGTACCCTCAACTGTACCCCTCTCCAGCCCTCTGCTCCCTGGTGGTGTCCTCTTTTTGGGAACCTGAATTATGGTAACCCTAATCCTGTTGAAGCCAGGGGGAGTTTTGCAATTGACTTAAATGGAGCCAGGAAGTCACCTTTGGAGATTAAGGCCATGTCTATACTACAGAGTTTTGTCGACAAAAGTCAGCTTTCATGGACAAAACAGTGGAGGTATACACACTACAATACTCCTTCCGCCGACAAAACTCTCAGGCTTTGCTGACAAAATAAAACTCCCTCAATGAGAGGCATAGAGCTTTTTGCAGAAAAGTTAGATTGTCAAAGTGTCAGTATAGAAAACATGGTTGGTTATGTCACTGTAAATGGCTTCCAGGAGGTGTCCCACAATGCCCATTCGGACTGCTGTGGTCAGCAGTTTGAACTCCACTGTCCTGCACCCAGATACACGGGCATCTCCCCACCCCCTTTAAAAGCCTGGGAATTTTTGAAATTCCACTTCCTGTTTGCTCAGCATGGACAGCTCACACCTCATCTTCCCAGCTGACCATGGTGTCTCTACACAGCAAGCGCTCTCCCGCTCGGAGCACAGTTGTTGGATCTGCGGGCACTGTGGGGAGAGGAGTCTGTGCAATCCCAGCTCCACTACAGCTGTAGGAACTTTGATACCTTTGGTCAGATTTCTCATGGCATGTTGGATAAGGGCTACGAACAGGACACACATCAGTGCCATGTGAAGATAAAGGAGCTGAGTCAGGCATAACTGAAGGGAAGGGATGGATGCCATCTGTGGTGGTGACCCCACCTCCACTGCCAAGAGCCCCATGGATACTTTGGCAGGATTGGAGACAGTGGACAGTGTAATCAACCCCGAGGATGAAGTTGTTAATGAGGAGATCAAGTTGAGAATGATGTGGAGCACACAGCAGGGTTATCCAGTGGCGTGGCAAGGCAGGACTTCTTTTCCACTCCAGAGGGGTCTAGTCAGTCCAAGCAGTCTGTCTCTGATGGGCATGATGCAGTAGAGGAGAGCTCTGGAAAGTGACCTTTTTGAGTTGATGCTGCTCAGTTATATGAGGTAGAGCTGTCCTTTGCTTTGTATATGCTAGAAGGGGATGAAGGGATAAAAATGTACAAGACTAGGAAACTTTCCTGGAGGGACTCGCCAATCCTCTGCTGAAGGTTCCTTCGCAAAACTGCTTTGTTCCTTCCCTTGTAGGAATTTCCTGTGCCAATCAGCAATCACTTGTGCAGGGACCAAAGCGGCACACAGGAGAGCAGCACAGAAATCCTTTCTGAAGCCACACACATGCAGAAAATGCACCCTTGCATCCTTGCTTACCCTCAGGAGTGAGATATCGGCTTCAGTGACCCCCCACCTGTGGAAAATGGTGGCAGAATTTACAATATTGTCCCTAGTCACCTGCACTGATCCCCTTAAAAAACATCTTGATCCTTTGCGCCCAACCCCCACACAGGCCATTCTCACCATGTTTAAGGCATTCGTCGAGATGTATGCTTGCCAAGGGACAGTGAGAAACTGATTCATATTTAAAAAGAGGTGCATTTTATTATAATGATTCAATGCTGTGTGTGCACTAACAATCATGCTTCTGTTTATTCTTTCTTGTGCTTCTTCAGATGTGACCTTCAGGGGAACCCCCTTACACACTGGTGGATTGCCTCCTACAAGGAGGAGCAAGGAGAACATGTTTTGAGATGTGCTACAATCCTCAGAGGCCAAAAAACAAGACTGCAGGGCATGGAGAGGGACTTTAAAATAAAATGATAAAATAGTCTGGACAGAAAAGAGAGCCAGGAGTGAATTTTAATGGCCAGGAGCAGATGATAAAAGTGATAGAGGAGCAAACGGAGATGTTGAAGTTTCTAATTACACTGCCAGCTGAATTCATGTGTGGTTGCTCCCCCCCTGCAGCCAATATGGAACTGTTTTCCATGCCCTCCCACACATTCCTTGCAACTTCCTGGCCCATCTCAGTACCCTGTTCACTCCACCCCTTCAGACAGCTTCAAAAATGATAGCTGGACTTACATAGAGCTATCACACAGCCCTTCATTGTTATCTCCTTTCCAACCAAGCCTTTTGGGTGTGTTGTTACTTGGTATTTAATAAAAATATACTCTCTGAAAAATAACCAATCTTTATTTGTCTCCTACACGTGGTAGTTGCTGCTAGAATTAATACACAGTGGCAATTTGATCATTTGCTGAGTACAGATCAGGATCATCAAAATATTCAGACAAGGCGGCAAATTAACAAAGCATGGCAGAATGCTATATAGAAAGATACATTATTGGAGCTCATTGTCAAAATGGTGCCTCAAAGCATCCCTTTTTCGAATAGTCCCCAGTTGTGCCCTTCGAATGGCCCTGGTATCTGGCTGCTCAAAATCAGCCACCAGGCGATCCGCCTCTGTGCTCAACCCCAGAGGAAACTTTTCACCTTAGCCTCACAAATATTATGGAGTGCACAGCAGGATGCTATGACCACGGGAATATTTTCCTCATTTAGATCTAACCTGCCATAAAGACAGCACCAGCATGCTTTTAATCTGCCAAAGACATATTTTACGATCATTCTGCACCTGCTTAGCCTATCATTGAAGAGCTCCTTGCTGCTTTCCTGTGTAAGTCTTCATGAGCCATGGGAGTGAGGGGTACGCTGGGTTTCCCAGGATCACTATGGGCATTTCAACATCCCCCACTGGAATCTTCTGGTCTGGAAAGACAGTCCCTGCTTGAAGCTTTCTGCACAGGCCAGTGTTCCTGAAGATGCGTGCATCATACACCTTCCCGGACCACCCTGTGTTGATGTCAGTGAAATGCCCACAGTGATTCACAAGCACTTGCAATACCATACCCCTTTCTATTGATGTACTCTGTCGCAAGGTGGGCTGGGGCCAAAATTGGGATATGCATGCCATCTATCACGCCACCACAGTTAAGGAATCCCATTGCTGCAAAGCCATCCACTATATCACTCACATTTCCAAGAGTCACAGTCCTTTGTAGCAGGATGCGATTAATGGCCCTGCACCCTTGCATTAATGCAGTCCCAGCGGTGGACTTCCCAACTCCAAACTGATTCATGACTGACCAGTAGCAGTCTGGAGTTGCCAGCTTCCACACAGCGATCACCACACACTTCTCCACCAAAAGTGCAGCTCTCATTTTGGTGTCCTTGTGCTGCAGTGCTGGGGCCAAGCTCTGCACACAATTCCAGGAAGGTAGATTTCTGCAGCCAAAGTTCTGCAACCACTACTCTTTATCCCAGACCTGCATAACTATGGGATCCCACCACTCAGTGCTTGTTTCCTGAGCCTAGAAGCAAAAGTCCACCATGTGCAGCTGCTCTGTGAATGCTAAAAATAATCTGGTGTTGTTTCTTTCCATGACACAACAGGTCAGACACCTCTGATTCCTGTTCAGATTGAGTGCACATGATATAATGCATGACCAGCCATGATGTGTTCATAACAGTGACCACAACAGTAGAGAGCAGTGCAGGATCTGGTCCTTTCAGACAGAGAGGGCAGGCGCACAGTAAACAGGGGCCATTGAAAAATGCAGGAAAATTGGACTCCTGTTACTCTGCTGTATATTAAGGGTGTGTCCACAGTGCAGCTGGGAATGAGCCTCCTAGCCTGGGTAGACAGACTCGCTCTAGTGGGGCTCCAGCTTGCATGCTAAAAATAGCAATGTGGATATTGCAGCTTGAGCGCTCAAGTTTTGGGGGTTGGGTGGATAGTGTACATCTTTAAGGGGCTCTGCAAAGCAAGACTGAGTTTGCTGAGAAAGCTACTGATGGGATAGAATCTCTCAAAAGAGATGATGTGGAACTAAAAATTAGGGGCTTAGAGACATGGGCTGAAAGAGTGGGTCAAATTCACACGTTTCTAGGTCACATGACTTTTCCCTATTGAAGCAGCTAATTAACAGCGGGAAGAGGATTAAACTTTAGCCCAATATTGTCTGAATAATAGACTAAAAATTCAGTAGAAAGATATAAGCTATATTAAGCATGCACAGCTTACTGAATCATCAGTTTACTGAATTAGTACCTTAATGTATTTGGAGTATATTAAGTGATAGAAAGATTACGTAAGATAATTAGAAGCTAAATTAGTATTTGAAGAATCTTTGAAGAACCTCACAATAAGCTTACTTTTAACTAGCTCAGGGTGAAACACAAAACCTGCGGATCAGTTTGATTCTATCTGAGGATCTCAAAGCTTTACAAAGATCCATTCATTGAGCCTCACCACAGACCTGTGTAGCAGGTAAGTATTCTTATTCTCAGTTCACAGATGGGGACATAGAGGCGTAGATTGGAGAAATTAAAATGTGATTCAGCTAAATCCCTGTTTCTTATGTCTCTCAGCAGATGTGCTCACTTTACAAAGAAAGGGATGGTTTTCCCATAAGTCCATTCTGTAAAATTACCCTGGATTTTGCGGGTACATCTACATAGAAATGAAAGACCCACTACATGGCTGTGGCTGGCCCAGGTCAGCTGACTTTGGCTCATGGGGCTAAGCTGCAGGGCTAAAAATTGCTGTGTAGAGGTTTGGGGTCAGGGACCCTCCCCCTTTGTAGGCTCCCAAAGCTCGGGCCCCAGCCCGAGCTTGAAAGTCTACATAGCAGTTTTACAGCCCTGCAGTTTGAGCCCCATGAGCCGGAGTCAGCTGACCTGAGCCAGCCATGGGTGTTTAATTACTGTCTAGACATACCTTGAGGGTCAACTGGATTCTTGCCTTCTCCCACATCATTTTGCTAATACAGATGCTACAGGCCAAATTCTGACCTTGGTTAATTTTGTAACCATTTTTAAAGAAGAAAGTTGGTGATTAGGGTGCTAGCCTGGGATTTAGGATACCCAAGTTCAATTCCCTGCTCCACTGCAGACTTCCTTTATGGCTTTGGGCAATCACTTAGCCTCTCCATGCCTCAGTTCCCCAGTCTGTAAAATGGGGATAATAGTACTTCTCTAGCTCATGTGGTATTGGGAGGATAAACAAATTAAAGACTGTGAAACACTCAAATCACAGGGCCCAATAAGTACCTACCATAGAGTGAAGGCTAACTGGGTTACACAGGTATCAGAGGAGAACCTGAAGACTATGGAGTTGCACTATGTAATGAAGGGCAGAAGGTGGCTGGCAACATCTTCAGTACTGGCGGTGATATGGGGCAATGGAAGAACCCTGTTGGGTGATCCGCGTGCAGGATGACGTTCAGTGCTGATGATTAGAAAGGGGACCAAGCTAATAAAAACTGGAATGTAAGCACAGATAGGAATGAACTGGTTCTAATAAAATCAGAATTGTCTGAGCCTTCATTCAAAACTTGAACCAAACTGACCTCCAGCCTTTTCTGATTTCCAATAAGTTCCCAAATCTCTCTCTTTAAAATTGCATACACATGCATTTTCTGCTTTCAGTCAGAACCAGAAATAAAATGACCAAAATGACATAAAAAAGGCACTTCTGACATTATTTCTAGCTCATCTGAAAGCAGGCAATATGGCAAATGCATGAGAAAGGCAGTTTTCTGAGATCTATAGCCTAATTATCTGGAAAAATAGGTCACAGCAATTTGGATAAGAATTAGATAAGTATCTTAATTCCTGTAGGTTCATTTGGAATGAACTTAACCTCCAGTCCAAGATCCTGGTCTTGCATCCACCAGAGTAATTTGTAAAACTCAAATTGGCTTCAATTATGCTGAATCAGGCTTCATAGGGCTGTTCTTACTACTCAGGATTCCAGGATTGGGCTCCACTGAGATTTATCTCTCTGAAATATAAGCAAATACTAAAATAATAACTACCATAATTCTCCAAGCAGGCAAAAATTTACAAAGCTTTGACCAAATAACCTCTGTTTCTCTACGCACTTATGATTTGCGAAGTTTTTTTATTATGCAAGACTCTTGAAAGGAAAATGAAAAAGAAGCTGAAGTTCCTGACAGTGGTGAGAATCAGAAATGCCGTTAGTATCCCTCCAAAGAAATTCCTGTGATTGCTTTACATATGAGTGATTTTAATCACATTAATATCTTGCATCAAGAAAGAAAAAAACCCAAATAAACTCCCAAATCTGGAGAAGAGCTGATAATTCTGGACTAAATAATGAAGGACGTACAACTGTGGACAAGAAAGAAAAAACACCAGAAAGACTAATAAATCAGAAAAGATTACAAAGCCCCAATGAAAACATAAGGTCTACACATTCCATTAGTCATCTTCACTTAACAGGATGAAAATGTTTGCAGTGCTCCCATTGCGGCACTGGCAGATCCTTGACCCCTTCTACTGACATTCACCACCAACCTGATCTTTCGAGGTCCGTTTCAAGTGCTTTGTGATTATTTTTTTTTTTTTGATAGCATGCAGGTGTAACATAACGGGGCTTGTCTGCACTTGAAATGCTATAGTGCTACAACTGCATCACTGCATTTGCACAGCTGTGGTGCTTCAGTGTAGACACGACCTACTCCAACAGGAAGGGTCCGTACATCAGCGTAGGTGATCCACCTCCCCGAGAGGCAGTAGCTAGGTCGACGGAGAATTCTTCTGTTGAACTCGTACTGTCTACATGGGACTGAGGTCAGCTTAACTGCACTGTTCAGGGATGTGGATTTTTCAGACCCCTGAGTGAAATAGTTAAGCTGACCTAATTTTCTAGTGTAGACCAAGCCTTAGAATACTTGTCAGCGGAGAAGTGTTTGTGGAAGCGAAGACTTGCTGAGTTGGTAGCCTGCCTGAGCTTCATGAGTAGTCATGATAACATGGTGAGAGGAAGGAAAACTGACATCATGTGAAATTAGTTTTTAATTTAAAACAATTGATTATATTATCTCACAATTCCCAGGACAAATTACCACTACTAAGCCCTGGAGAAACCCACGGGAACAGACCAGGAAAAAGAGGAAAACTCCATGAATTTCCCTTTGTGGAGTTTTCTCTGAACTCTTCCATTGGAAGGATGGGATTCCCCCAAACATCCTACTCCTCCTTCCAAAATGTGTAAGAGTCACATGGGGATCTATCATGAGGTCCTATGGCCTCTAGCAGTATGGTTCCTTTGGAGCCCT